ATACCACATCTTGTGATTGCGCGTGCCCTCACCCCAACCCCATATTAGTATGATATTGTCCGCTCTGGGCTAAGCCCTCACGGATTTGTTTTTGGGCACCTCCCAAAAGGCCTCATACTAATGGGGTTAGGTGAACCTATATATTTTGGTCTATTTTTTCTTCTCCCTCCGGTGTGGAACTTGGAGGAATCCCAACACATTCATACATCATCACATGCCTTCACACTCACCATAGCACACATTTTTATCACTCTACATCATATACATTTACACTTTGTCAAGCCAATGAAAACACATAAACTGATAAATAACTTGGACAAAACTTTGATTGTTATGTCAACAACAGACTAAGTCAACTGGTCGAACAAACGAACAACTAAAAATTTTACTCCTATTTACTTAGAATAATTTCATAATTTCTTGAAATAATAGTCACATTTGATGTGACCATGTTTTTTTACGTAGTACATCGTACAAAAAATTGCAAGCACTAGCCTTTATCAGGCCGAAAGTAAGGTAAAACTGAAATCTTTTTTTTTTTTTTTGAAAAAGCTCCCCGGAAAATACTCCACTATGTCTATTGACCATGTCACGTTATTTTACCTCCATGCCTTACGTTACGTCTCATAGTATTTTACTTTATGAATTATGACTTTGGATAACATTTTTAAGTTGCCTTACGTCAATATTTGGATAATCTTTATAGCATAAACTATTTTTAAAATGAGTAAATTATATAATTGGTCCTTTATAATAGAGGGGTTCCCCAATTTAGTCATCTATTTTCAAATATTACCCAAGTTGTCCTTCTTTTATGGATATCTTTTCAAAAATAGTTCTTTTTTTGATCTTCTATCATGTTGGTGTTAATTTGATGGCTAAAAAGTGTATTTTACAATGATAATATATCTTTTTTGTCATACACAATTCCAAAAGCTGTTTTGTTTGCGTCGTTTGTAAATTACAATCGCTTTTTACGACAATTATAGTCTACAAATGTGATCTTTCGTCAGAATCCTAGCCCACAATCATAGTCATTATTTTTGTGTTATCCGCTTAACCAATATCAGAACACGTCACTAGACATAATATTGAAGTCAAATTATACTTTTAGCCTTTAAATTAACACCAACACGACAAAAGATCAAAAAAGGACCATTTGTGGAAAGGTACCCTTAAAAAAAGAACTTTGGGGGTAATATTTGATAATAGAGGACTAAATATGGAAACCCACCTGTTATAAAGGACTAATTATGAAATTTATTCTTTTAAAATCATTGAAAATAAGGTGCCATGAAAAAAGAAGGTGCCAAAATTATGTATTACTTCATCAAATAAATGATACTACAATCTTTCTGTTTGATTTTTCATGATCTTAAATGTAACTTTTTGATTATTAATGTCTATATTTCAAAACTATAATCTATAATGAAACTAGTTACATTATATTTATATTGAAATACAATGTATTTTTTATATATCGAGATCAAAGTTTAGAAATTTTGACAAAAAAAGTTAAATGAGAAGATTATTTCCAAACGGAGGAGTACTACTACCTCCGCTCATGAGTATTTGTCTAGTTTTGACTTTTCTGGTCAATTGTTTTCAATATTTAACCTGTAATTAAATAAAATATATATTGTATATTAATTAGATAAAATAATATTTTGAAAATATTTGATAAAATAAATCTAATAAAGCTATTTTTGTATCAATATCTAATATTATTTTTATTTAATTTAAAGTCAAAGTTTATCAGTTTTGACCAAAAAAATAAAAAATAAACAAATATTTTGAAACGCAGAGAGTACTAAAAATGATTATAGTCTGTTTTGTAAATGATGAAGAAAAAATCTCTGTAAAAGGAAAGTTTCAAAATGAGACCTATTATGCATTATTTATTGTGTTGCCACCCATTTGAAAAAAATGTAATCCTGCCCCTTGTTTTGGAAAATTTTTAATCTAATTTTTTAATATATGAATTAAAAATAGTTTCTATACAATTTAAATTGAGATTTTATTAACATTTTAATACCGCCGCACCCAACAAAATGTGCGGGCATCATTACATAGTGACATTACATACCAATATACCATCCCAACAATATATTGACAAATTAAAACAGCAATAGTGACCAGATACTATTCACAACATTTTACCATTCCTCAGCTCCCTATATACTTTTACTCGTTTCTCATTAATTACTTGGGTAAAAATCTTTATCTTTCATTTTTAATGTAATTACCTTTTGTTTTATTTAAAAATTAATATTGATAAACTAATTAAAAATGTAAAAATACGTCATCTTTTTTGTATAAACGAGAAGAATTTTTATACTCCCTCCGTCCCCAATTTGATTCCAAATTGCGGGTCAGGGAGTAAAAATTTCATACTTTTTGAAATCATTTTATTTACAAATTGGTATATCAATAAGCTATAAAAATTACATATTAAAAAACTACGTCAAAAGTTCTACAAAACAAGAGGTGACAAGAATATTTTATTTTATCAAATACTTGATGAAATCGCGTAAACAAACAAAAGTTATCGAGAGGAGAGTGAAAAAAAGATTGTAATCTATTTACGGCTACATATAAATCAGAAGGTCATTATAATACAATTATAAGTTCAATTTTTTAACCTTGTTTTGAAAGATTTCTTTTTTTCCGTTATTTTAATTTAGCTAAAATCAAATAATTAAATTTGTAATCTATTATTTCATAGAACATTGATATAACTTTTATATATATATAATTTTATTTCAATTTTATATAAACAGTTCAAATTTAAATATAATCTAAACCGAGCATCATACTCTCTTCCTCCCATATCTTTCAATTATTCTCGTTGCGCAAAATGAAGAAACCTTCCAAGTTGTTTCAATCTATTTTATTTAAATATTGGTATAAAAATAAAAGATAAAATTTACATATTCAAAAGTTATACAAAAAATTCAATAAAACAAGTGATGCGAAGAATATTTTATCTTATTTCTTAGTTATTTAATAAAATAATATGGTCTCGTCACCTCTTATTTTGTACGTAGAACTTTTGATGTAGTTTTTAAATATATAAATTTTATATTTTAATTTTACAACTACAATCAAATAAATTGAATGGAAAATAAAGTCGGTCATACCTCATAAACAGTGACGGTAAGAATGTTTTAGGATGGAGAGAGTTTCATACAGGCCATGCAAAAATATAAATAAATAAAAGTTTCTGTGAAGTTGGAATAAATACCATAGGAAGAAAAATATGGGACAAATGGAGTAACACACAATA